TTTTGTTACCATGACTGGCATTACTTATCACTCTCCTACTGTTTTTCCATTCTAGGCTTCCCTTCATTGCTAGGAGTGGGAGACATTTGTATCCTGCATTTTATCAAATCAAATCTTGTGTTGCTCTTCCCTGCACATTCTATTAATTTTTTCTCAATTTGCCATCACTTCACATATTATGCTTGAAAATCTAATTAAAGGGTTTTTTAACAACATTAATGATCTGTAATAAGGAAGTAAGCAAATCCAGAGCCAACACTGATCTCGGAATACCAATTTAGATATCCCTTCTACTCTGTATGCTGTCAATTTTAGTATGTCATTTGCAGTCCAGGATTCTCATAACATTGCTCATACAAATTAATAACATGTTATGCTCGAGCAACTCAGAAAAGAAAAAAAAAATTACCTATGCCTTTTTTCTTTACTGTTTTTCCTGATCTACCTATATACTCTCAACCCCCACCCACATATTGGTAGGACTTTTTAAAATATTTTTTTAAGAATTGATAAACAAAATTTACTACTGAAAAATAGCATCTGTCCATTCTCCTTGCAGCTCCTCCACACCTCTCCTTCATCCCATATGTCCTATTTGCTATTTATAAAAAAAATAAAAAAGCAAATATATGAGACTGTATTTGGTCTGTCATGGAAGGTACAATTAGTTCTGAGGCAGATTGATAGAAAGAAACACCCCAGCATCTCCTATCTTAAAACACATCCCTCTTACCATGAATAATTACCTTGAATTACAGGATTTTATATACTTATTCTATACATTTGTAAATTCTATAAATGTAACATGTTCTAATAAATCTTTGAAATTCCATTTGCCTGTCAGCAAAATGCTTTCCTCTCTAATATATTATAAACCTGAGAGACTAAGTAGTAGTCCAGTGTCTACCTTCTTTCCAAGACAGTACAGGTTAGAGACACTTAAAAAGGAAATCTTTACATTAAAGGACCTCAACTTGTTTCATAATTCCTGTTCTTTTTTAGAGTTATCATTCCCTGTCTAATAACCAAGAATAAACTGAAGCATGGATAGGCAGTAGCTGGCTCAAAATGCAAACATACCAGTCCTCAAGAAGAGAAGTGAACCTGCTTAACCCATTTTCACACTGGTGTGTTACAGTGTGTTTTCTCTTTATTAAAAAAAAGCACCGAAACAAAGCTTCTGAGAGTAATTTTATAACTATTATTTAAATATGGAGTAAAATAAGGTGCATTCCTCAGTAGCTGTTCAAGTTTATAAACTTGAAGTCTCATTTTTCTGCAGTGTTTTATACCCATACAGTCTTATTGACAAGAAGTTGCCAATAGTATTGGTTCCAAGGGCAACTGCATAAAACCAAAGTGCAACAAAACTATTCCAATGGGATCAGGATGGGCCATGCCCAGGCACTGTTCTTGGACCTGAGCTTGTTTTGGGGGATTTCATCAGCTTCGTATTTTAGGAACATAGGCAAATTTCTATCTTGGGTATGTTAAAAGGTCTTCTGTTCTTCATAATTGAAACAAGACAGTTACGGTGCCAACAGTACTTTGTCACTTTTGAGGAGAAAAAAAAATAAATAGATTTGTACTCATTACTAATACTCTAAGGAACTGAAAACAGTGACTTCATGCACACAGTCCTATTTCATTATAGAAATGAACCATCAAGATTATACAGAAAAAAAAAAAAAAAATTCAAATCAAACTGATACTAGCAATGTATCGCTTTTTATTTTGGCATTTTATTCCTCTCCTTTGTAACTGAAAAAATATTTTTCTAGGTGGCTATAAAATTCCCCCTACTATAACATGTACTAAATTAGTTAGGCAAGGTAGGTTTTACAGAATGAGGAGTCAAATTAATTTGCTGCTCCATGCCTTTCCTTGCCAGACACAGACACAGAGAGTGTTACAAGACTTCATCTTAATGAGCGTCATTGAGAAGTTGACACTCATAGCAACCTCCCCAGCCCTGAAATATAATACCTCTCTTTGGAAGCAATGTCTGTGAACCCTGAATAATTTCAGTTCCTCTTTATTACTACTCCTTTTCTTCTTTGTTGCATTCAAAATACACTCAGCAGCACCATGACTGTTGACCTGGCATCAAGTGATCCTACCCTTTACAAGAAAAGGGTGAGGGAGAAGCAGTATGGTGACAGAGGTTACAAAAATGGATTATGAGACTTCAGCATTACATAAAATAGAGGTTAGCAGAAGAGTTAGTTACTAACAGCAAGCTTTGCTGAATTATATCCTCAGCTGGATACAATCCAACTGTTCATCACACACAAGTACAAACTGTGTTCCCTCCCATTTACTTACATAGATCCATAATGTGGTTTCTGCAAATGGCACAGTTATCAACCACAATGTCCCATGCCCACAGAGCTACGGCATTCCACTGGAGAGAGGGAAAAAAAAAGAAAAACATAGTTTTGATTCAATTTACAGGGGACAGAAATCCTCACTATTCTTCAAGATCCCACGTACTTTTTGAAATAGAAAAGCTGGAATATTTAAGAAAAAACAAATCTTAGAAGTCCAGAACAATTCTTCATCATGAGTTCAGGTTACTAGGAAGCAGTGGTACATTCCTCTCACAAACCTCCCAGACACAATGTCTCCTTCCCAATTCAAAAAGAAGGTAACTCACACAGACCACCTTTCCCCTCCTCCCCCCCTCCCCCAGCCTTTTTTTTTTTTTTTTTTCTTGTGAATCAAATGCAAATATCTGGATTTCTACTCAAGATCCAATGGCAAGGGTGCAGCTCATGCCAAATCCTCAATTCTGAAGGAAAGGACAGTCCCTTGGAGAAAGACCAATTCAGATGAGATTTTTGTAGGAGGAATTCACATTACTTGCAGCAGTTCCTCTAGGAATCACGCTTCAGAGCAACTGGGGTCAGGAACTAAATTTCTAAGGCTACTCTCCACTGAATCTTGAATAATCTTCCCTAGAAAAGGTTAATAAGCAACAACCTATCAGCAAGGCTGGATATAAAAATTTCAAAGTACTACCAAATCCACCTTTCAAATACTTACTTTATACATATAAAAAAGTAATAGCACTATCCCATGCTACTTCAGGGGAAGGGTTTGAGGACTTTAGGGCAAGCCAGGCAGAAAAACATGGTTCCTTTTTATTCCTCCAGACAAAACCCATAATCAGGTCTTTTGTAAACTCTTTAAATAAGTGGGTCTGCCTTCAACATCCAATGCAATCCAAAACATTCTACTGGCAATCAGAATAATTTTGATTTACTACTTAAGTAGTATAGATTGTTTTTCCCACTTACATTTTTTCAGTATATATTTGCACTGACTGTACTATAGTAAATATTCTCTACTGTGCTCCATTCTATCTCAATGTTTTAATTTCTTTCCGTCAGTCTGGGACACTAAAGGAGGAATGCCAACTTCCAAGTATTGATAGGCAGTACTGGACTTCGATAAATTCAATTTTTCATTAGTACTGATATAAAAAGTATTCCCAGTACTGCTAGATCTTTTAGGACATGCACCAGCAGCAATCCAATTCTTTTCCCCAATCTCCCAACTTCAAGCCTAGCTGGCCTTCTGGCCATCTACTCATTTCGCACGGATTTCATCCATACTTCAAGGCAGCTGAGATAAAAGTTCTCAGCACCCTTATCTCTCCCATACACTCCAGGACTTAATCTCTTGTCCCATCATGGTCTACTCTGATAGCCCACACACCTGTACTGAGCCACACATGCAATAAAGGTCTTGGTACCTTGCTGGGGAGGAGTAATGCCACTGACACATACATGGTGCTACTTCCTACCACTCTCATTATATCTGTCCCTATTTCCAAAGGACAAGCAATTATGTCACCCAGACTCTTCCTTCTGCACACATCCGGGATTTCCATCATCACTGATGGCAGCTGCATTTCAAACAAACTCATCTACAAGCAGGAATCACTGGAAATGTTTACTGATATTCAGTCTAGAGGGTCATTTTTCCTCAAATTATACCTTACTGCAAGCCCACACAATGTATCCCTGCTTCTCTACACTCTCGGGAAGAGCCTGGACCATCACCGTGATCCAGCTGACCAAAGGGTGGCACTGGATTAGGAAAGCATATAATGGCTGCTCTGAGCGAGGAGGCAAAGCCAGGGTGGCATGAGAACATTTTCCCACTAACACGTTGCTATGGCTCGACTTAAATAACAAGGAGAAAAAAAGTCAGCCACAGACATTTGTAGAAAGCATTTTATGCAGCACATGGGGCAGCCCGGGCAGCTGGGCCACAGCGGTCGGAGGTGATGGGGAGCCGCAAGCACTCCAGCGCTGCTCGCCAGCCCGAGCTGCCCAGAGGCTCTGGGTACGGAGTAGCCCAGGCCCGTCGGGACGGCAGCGGCTGAGGGGAGCGAGCGGCAGAGCTCGACCGGGGGATTACCCCACCGCGTGCCGGGGCAGCCGCGGGGGCGAGGAGCTCCCGCCCCCGCCAGCCGCGCCCGCTGATTGGCCAGCTCCCGCTGCACGTGCGGCGGCCCGACTCAGACATTGGTTAGGACGCACGCCAGGACTCCCCGCAGGCCTCGCCTCGCCCCTCCCACCACTCCGGTGCGGAACCGGGCGCCCGGCTCCGTGAGAGGAGCGGGAAGTCGCCCCCTTCTCCGTCCCTCTCGTTGGCATCAGGCCGGTCCCAGTCCCCCACCCCGTCCCTCCGGCAGCAACCGGAGGACCGCGCCGGCGGGGCCTCACTTTCTTCACTTCGAAGCGCTTCTTGCCGGCGCCGCTGTTGGTTCCGCTGGGGGTATCCACATCCATTGCGGCCGCCATTTTGGGTGCGTGAATCGGCCCGTCCTGCTCCGCGCGCGTGCGCGGCGAGGCGGGGCGGTGGGAGGGGCCATGCAGTCGTCACGCCCACTTTAGCCCCGCCCCCTTTTCCGCGCCGGCAGGTGGAGGGGCTGATGGCGCGGTCACGTGAGCGCGCTCCCGAGGGCGGCAGCCAGGGCGGGGTCGCGCCAAGTTACCTCATCACTGCCGCCGGCGTCCGGCCTCTCGGTACCGCGCCTCACTACAATCCCTTGGGATTTGCCTCCCTGCCCTCTTCATATTAGGGCCTTCAGCCCTCAGTAAACTTCTAACTTGTTTTCGCCCATCGTAATCGATGCAGAACGAGGTGGGGGCGGGCGGCACTGCTGCTGTAGCCCTTTTGTTCTCCCGCAGTCCAGGTTTTTTTTTAAATGAACGTGGAATTGCTGGAGACAGGACGCTCACCTTAGGGTGTGTGATTTGGGCTTACAAGAGTTATAATCAACATGGGTTTATAGGTGCTGCCAGAGCTGCCCAAGCCTTGCCTGATGTGTTGCAAGGATGGAGACAAGCACGGCAGCTGCTGCTGGAAGCTTCCTCCGTCAGTCCCTTCCCGAGAAGGTCAGTGGTAGTTCCCCCCATGATCTGGAAACTGAGGGCAATTCACTCCCCAGCAGGACAACTACAGGTCTTGAAATTTCACCCGGCTTTGCAGGTCTCTGGAGATGCGACCTCTCTGCAGAGTCATCCCTTCTAAACCCATTTGTACACTGTGCTGCTCCATGGATGTGGGAAAGAGGAAGCTCTAGAGGCACTAAAAGGCCATTCTCTTGCATAGATACAGGCAAGCAATATCTGTACTCTACCTCTCACAAGTACTCGGGCCCAACAGCACTGTTGTGGTCTGGCTCCATTGTATCCGTCTTGCTGTGTGCATACAGCTTTTTCCTGAGACCGTGTGCTTGCTGGGGTGGGTGTCTGGCAGTCTCCAAATAGACTTAAACCTAAAGCAGAGATCTGCAGTAAGAACAAAATGATGCTGTCACTGGATGTGTAGGAATAATTTTAATAATTGGTTTGGTATTAATATTTGAAAGACATTGCGCCTTGACTTACACGCATACCTAAATATTTGCAGCATCAGGCTGAGCCTGAGAGTGGCACAGACAATAATCGCAAGTTTGAAGAAGAAAAATGCCCTCCACCATATAAACACCCTTTAACACCTCTCATTACATACATGGAAAGCTTCCATTTCACTGAATTGCCCCTTTCCTCGGATGCTGCTTGGTTATGAAGCATCTCAATTGCAGCTGTACAAATTCATGTTTCTGTCCTGTTGCTTCATATTCAGGACTATTGCAAAGGGGTATTTTGAAAATGAGAATTGGGTGCTTGAGAAAATGTACTTTTCACCTTCAAGAAAATACCTCTTTTCAAAGCAGAATTTGTAAGATTTCTTATTAATAGAAGCATCAATTCTAACCCTAATTAATAAATGTGTATGGCAACATCTCCAGTAGGAGATTTCTCAGTAAGAAACCAGGACATTGATCAAACATGTAGACTAGGGCATACACATATCCAAGATCTTAACATTAATTTTCACTTTAAGTGTCTACTGTTGTATAAAATTGTAGTCTCCCCACCTCAGCTGTCCCACCACAGGGAGGTGGTTGCCAGTGGGGTAAAACCATGCAGCCAGCAATCCTGTGGTCTAGATTTATCTTTCCCTATCTGGCAGCAAAAACAACGTAGCAACACAGATCTTAAGTCTTGCTGAAAAGGTGTGTGTGTTCTTAGGAAAACAAAAAAGATAGCAAATATGGTGCAGGACAGAAAACATCGCATATGCATAAAGCGATATTTAATTAATTAATATTTACTGTGTATGCAGATACATTTTACCAACAAGTGCATGAAGAGACTTCCAGTACACTTTGCAAAGTGAAATTAGTGACAGTATAGTCCCGCACTTCATAAAAAGGGCTAAGCTACCTTCTCTGCTTGAAATAATCTGTTTTCTGTTGATTTTAGTGCCATCTCTAATGTCTTTCCTCCTAGTAAAAGTGCATCTCCTCAGACCTGTTTTCCCCTCTTAAGCCTATATGTTGGAGAGGGTTGTCAGGAGCTGCTGCAGCAAGAAAGGCTGCAGCTTTGAAAGGCATCAGTCTCAAAAATGTAACACTGTGGTCCAAATTACCAGGGATGCTTTGAAGATAGGGTCATTTTTCAAATCTCTGGGACATGCAGGGGGAAAAGAGAAGGCTACCAAATTGAAAAGGCAGGGAGACAGACAGACTAGGTGACATGTGACAACTCCTGTGAATATGGTTAGTCCCAATTAAACTGAGACAAACTCTAAATTGTCAAAGACTGTTCCAAAAGGCAGGGTACCGCCAACCTTTTGAAAGGTCAAGCCAGTGTCTTGGATTTTGGTTACTGCCCTTTTCCCTTACATTCATTCTATTGGTGGTTTGCTGTTTATTTTTCTGCAGTCACCAACATTTTCCTTTGTGGGATTTATCCCTCAAATACTTCTCTCCTCCATTACATGCACTCTTTGAATGCATGTTCCTGACTGGACTGCTGTGGAACTGCTCCTGGAGGTGTGGTTTCTCGCAGCCCTGGCTCTGCACCTGCACAGGGACCAGGCAGAAGGCCTGGTGGTGGTCATACTAACACAACTTGTCCCTCCAGGGCAGAGGGAGGCACATGGCAGTGGGAGGATCCCCCAGAACTGAGTTAGAAGGAAAATACAGACAGGAAAGGTGGATTTGCTTAGTCCTCGCTGCCTGAACTGTTTGCATTCTGCTTCCCAACCCCAGAAGACACGAGCAGTTATCATGACTAGTCCTCCAGTGTGACAGGATCTTTCTGGGGCACTTGGGTCACTTAGGAACAAAACTGTTCTGAAGGAGAATTGCAGCACTTTCAAACACTTTTCAGAGCAAATCCTGAGAGTAAGAATGGGCCTTCCAAGACTGCCAAGAGCAAAGAGGGGGGGAAAAAAGGGAGGTGGCCCTTTCCTAAGTGCTTACAAACCTCAGTTTTTCTCTTGCTTTTCTCTGCTTCACCCTCTCAGTGCTGCCTGCTTAAGGTGTAGTTTCAATGGTACCCTAAGCAGCATCAAGCAGGAATTACTTGATATATGGGACCAGTTGCCAGTCAGTGGTTGCCATCCAAGGAGCAAAAATCAGGTGCACTTTATTACTTTTTAAAGAACTGTAGGGCTGACTGGCTGGCTGCCCTCCAGTTGCTGATGCTAGTAAAATTATTTGAGTTGCCTAAGCTGGGATTTCTAGCACTCTTTGCTTTTGGATGCACAAGCCCACAGACAGCATTCACAAATTACTGTTGGGGCAAAGCTGAATCTACAGTTATTCTGTGTTGCCGCAAAACTTTCTCAAAATTCAAGCAGACAACCACCCAACAAAGCTCTCTACAAGGCTCTGTAGCATCTCCAGAGTGCTTGGCACAGGGAGATTGAATTCAGAGAACAGAGACAGAGGGGTAGATTAGGCAATATATCCCATAGATTTTTGGACCAGACTGTGCTCGCTTTCTGTGGAAACCCAAACAACCTGCCTCTGTGTATGTTTTCCAGATGATGGTCACATTAAACCCCATACAGTACCCCTGTCTTTATAATTCATTATTAAAACCTCGGGAGAGAATGGGACCCTCCAAACTGGCTAAATAGAACAGACGAGGTTCTGAGAGAGGAGCAGGTTGTAGCATTTAATGGGATGGTGACTGATTGCTGCTTTTCCTTTCTCCTGGCATTCTACCTTAAACTGCTTGACAGATAAAATAACATGCAAGCATTCCGGCAGGTTGCAGGAAAGTGGGTGCCTGCAAAACCCAGGATATATACTGACTGTGCCCAGATTCCTGCAGAGCCCTTCTCCACACATGAATAAAACAAGCACTTGGGGCTGCGCCTGCAGGCTCAGCAAATGGCACTGTCCCCACCGTGGGCATCTCGGGCCCCACACCATGCCTAACAATCAGCTGCAGCTGATACAGAGGAACATGGTCAGGACAGAGGGATCCCAGTATTCTACCGTGAGGATGCTGGGCTGATTCCATTCCGCTTCGAGAAGGGGCTTGAAGCTATGCCTCCTATGCATGAGCACCCCTGTGCTCCTCATCTTAATCCCTGCTCCCAGCTAAGGAGCTCCATCTCAGCAGGAATCCAACGCCAACCCCACCTCCCTGCCACCCCTTTGCAGTTCTGGGCGTCAAACTGCATACACTGATCACATCTGGCTGTGCTGCCACCTCCCGAGAGAAAGCAGCATCCTGGCTTCAGCTCAGAGGGAAGGAAACGTTCCAGAGCCGGGCTCCCAGCCTGCACGGAGGGCCCCGGGCAAGCCGGGACTCCAGGGACCGCCGGCAGCCTGGGGAGGCAAACGTGGGCCCAAGATCGCCGCACCCCTGGGTCAGCTGCAGCCTGGGAACCTCTGTTACTCACAAGGCTGAAGAAGCAGAAGGGTGAGACTGCCTACAGAAACTGAGGAAAAAAAAAAATTATACACCGGGAAGAGCGAGGGCTTGGAAGAGAAAGAATCTTTAACCTGAGCTGGGATCCCAATGAGAATTGAGACAGGATTGTAATTGAGAGAGAGGACAAGTCTTTCAGAGGGTAACTAACAGGAAAGAGGTAGCAAGGGAGTGATGATTGTTAACCTGAATATACCATAAAAAACTGCATGAGGTGACAAGAGGCTATGGGATAGCTCAAGTGCAGGAGACTGATCTGAGTATCAGGTCATAGTCTGCATCTCTTTCATTGCTCAGATTAGATTTTTCAAAGTGGTTTTTATCCTCTTAAGTAGCATACCAAAAAAAAAAAAAAAAAAAAAGAACATTATGATAACTCAATACAAGTAGTTATATTCATTTACTACTGCATGTAAGCAACACTGGAAGATCTGCCAGGCTAATTAGCAGTAGCCAGGAAAAAGCACAAGAGTAACCAAAGTAGTAACACGAGTTTGCCTGCATATAAATCAATAAACTCCTACTGATTTGGGAAATCCATGAACCTTCAGAAACAGGAGGGGAGGCAGTTCCAGACTGTTGTGTGGGAGATACTAAAACACTGTTTACAGATATTCTTATCTACAGCTTTTCCCTGACAGTCTTGAATGTGGGGAGAGAGTCATAAAGAGGCAACAAGCACTAAAATCAGACAAAAAAAATATTTCAGAAAAAGAGAGGTCTGGAAGCTACCTTCACTGAGTCGAAGATTCTTTGTTCATTTCCCAAGAAATACAGTATCCCAAAATTGCTCCAAATATCTCTTAAGGGAATCAAGTCCCTAACTGCAGGCCCTGCTCAGTAAGATGCAATTCATTTGCCATGCTTCTTTGTCAGAATAGGAAAGATGCTGCTGTCAGTAAAAGCATCTTGTTGAAGTCCCTGGTAGCCATAGCAAAGGCACCATTTGACAATCAAAAATTGTAACAATCCAAGTTTTTCTGTCACTTTTTTCGGTGGTTATTTTTTTGGTATTGTTGGTTTTGTTTGGTTTTAGGCAGGGGGGATGTTGAAGTGAGTTCAGATGTGATTTCAGGGCAAAAAAATTGACTAACTTTATATCATTTCTTCTTAGAAATACACAAAGGAATGGGGAAAAAAATAGGTGGCTTGCAGACATGGCAATTTCTAGTTCAAAAACTATATGGATATTACAAAAGAAGCCAAGAGTGAGGGAGGGATCAATCCTCTGCCTCCCATACCAGAAGGAACAGAAGGTTGTGGTACCTAACTCAGTCCTCAGAAGGCAGTATTAAAGTATTTCTGGCATTTAACTTCTGTTTGTTATGAATGCCTATATGCAAATCCCACAAGAGGTGGTGTCTCTGCCAGTTCTATACTGAACATACCTTAAATGTATCTTGCTGTGTTAAACACCGTTTCCTTTCATTTCCAAACTCAGCACAAGTGGATCTCCAAAACATCAGTGGACAGAAGAACCATTTGAGGCAGTGAGCTTTCACTGATCTGAGCACAGAAGTTCCCCAATTCTGACAGCCACAGGAAATGCAGGAAATAGGAGCAAGCAGAGAAGGAAGTGTAAGTGCAGAGCCTACTGCTTTGGTAATTTTTACTTTTGGTAGTTTATGCTTTTGGTAATTTACCACTGCAAAGTGACGAAGTCTCTTCTTCTCTCCAGTCATGGTGGGGGCTTTGTGGGTTTTCTTTCCTCTTCTGCTCACCACATTAATAAATTTTATTTCTCAACCCAGTTTAAGGATTCAGTGCCCTGTGCTAGGAGAAAGAGGAAAGAGCCATATCCAGCACTAGGAACACACTCCCACTCACCTGCAGTCAACAAGACTTTAAAACATAAAATAATACAACAAGATGCAACAGCTTTGGGGTGGTTTCAGCAAGACACATGGAAAGTTCTAAGTTCATTCCACTTAGTACTATGGAGTTAATTCCTTTACCTCAATATGTAGAAATACTCATGAGTTTATCATGGAAGATCCTTATGTTCAAGTTTGCTCACATCCTGTAACCTTTTGTGAGTCTGCAGCCATTCAATATAATCAACTGCACAAGTTTGAATGGGAATATTGTAAGTAATTTTGAGGAACCAGGAAAGCTGGAAAGAGGCCATTAATCTACCAGTACCACACACACCCAAACCATTAGCAGTCAGCAGCAGAACCTTTTGAATCCCTGGGGGAGACAAAACAAAGGCCCATTCTCTTATGTCCCTTTGTTCATACAAGAACCTATCTTTGCATTTATTTCTCTCCTGCTGGGGTTTGGACTGGCAAAGAGAGCTCCAAAATGCCTATCAAACATTAACCTTCTGTTAGAAAGGGGTGTGAAACTGAAGAAGAGCCCTTATACTCTTCTTTCACACAGCAAAACTGTCAAATAATTAAAACATTTTTGAGAATATAAGGAAAACTGTTCACTCAGTTCTAGGACAGGGGAAAATGGAGCAGATAATAATTTATCTGGATAAGAGTGGGGGGGAAGAGGTTGAGGGACCACTAGCCTCCTTAAGTTCAGGAGTGCAACTTGCATTTCCATGTTATTGGATTAATAATTCTGGTATTAGCTTATACTAAACCAGTTTTCCCTCAATTTATTGTACTATTTCCTCCTACTTACTGCTTTCATCCCTGCTTTCTCTCATAGCCTATTTTATCGTATGACTCTATGATTTTTCATGTTTTTAAACTCAGTCATTAAAAACCCTGGTTACAATTGTCCCATCTTATTTGCATTACCAATCAATATGGAGTGAAGTTCATTTTGCACTTCTTTGCTCTAAGAGCAAATTCTTTGAAGTCCCCCTGTAGACTTAAGGCCTGTGAAGATCAAGGGGCTTCTCTGCAGTCCTGCAAAGGTCTTCAGAGATGTTTTAGGAGAGTGTAAAAATCTACGCTATGGAAACACCAAAGCTCCTGCAAAGGCAAACTGAAGGTTGAAAACCTTGGGTATCCAAATCCCTAGCAAACATGAACAAGAGGGGATTTCCTTCAAACTCACTTTGGATCTTTTAAACCTGTGAGATACAGAGGCTTCCTCCTGCCAGAATCTGGTGGGTGGTGGCATTTCTTCCTTGTTCACTACAGTTACAGCTGCCAAGGGAAAGGAATAAAAAACAGTAGGGAACAGGTTTACAAACACAGCTTTTGGCTGAACCCTGGATGTTTGCTTGGAAGCTTTTTACTGCATTTCATAGTCATTTCTCCTTTCCTGACAGGGATGAACAGCTTTCACTCCATTAAGTGTATCTCCCTTGGGTTCTCTGTTCAAGCTGGAAAGAAAGTTCTCGAAAAACTTGGATGGCACATTTGGGACTTACCTACAACACAACAATGGTTTGTTTGCAGTGGCTTAATTTAAATTGGATTTCACATCAATTCGTTGAACAGCTGAGGAACCCCATGTGGACACACTTATTTGCCTTAAGAATTGTCTAAAATCTGTTCCAAATTGATTTAAGCTTCACTGATCAGATTTAAATATATACTTAAAAGGTCAACACCACCTTTTGCATTGATTTAATGAAATGATATTGAAAGCAATGCTTGAGTAAACTGGTGCAGCTCTGTGTAAAAGCTGTCTGAATTAGTGTAATATGGATTGTCAAAAAATGGAGAAACATTTCTCCTCCTCGAAGTTTGCAAATTCAATCTCTTGATTGAGTGCTAGCAAGATGGAGGCTGATGAATCTCTCCTCTGATGGAGCCTCATATTGATTTTATCATTAGATATACAAAGCAAAAGGCTAATTTAGTAATAGGCATGTTTCATGCCTGCCTTTCATGGTGTTGATCTAAACACTTCATATATACACTTTAGCTCAAAAGCACATAAATTCCTTCTTCAATATGAAATTTCAAAATGTGGATGTGTTTTTGAAATTATGAGCTTTAAAAATGTCTTGAGGTAAATCTAGGTAGCTATGATCTTAAAAAATATTTAGAGAAATAATGGCATGAAAGAATTACTTATATCAGGAGCCTATTCCACTGTTTAACAGGTGCAGATATCCATCACAAATTAAGCCTCATTTGTGCTGAGTGGTTGAATTGCTGAGGAATCACTTTATTGGTATGTGAAACATCTACTATGTATAGCTGGACAGATTCCCAGGAATTCCAATGAAACACATTAATGCACAAGAGAAAACATCCTTCCTCATAAGACTTATGAAATCATAAGCTTTGCTCCTCTCAGTATCTTATGTCCATAGAAATGTAAAAAAAATAACTGCTAAGGAGGTCTCTTTAGATAGAAAGTGTTTTTTCTCTCTTCAGGAGAGCTGCTATTATAGATTTTAATATCCAAAATAAAACACACTTTTATTTAAATTACATTTTTCTTCACCTTATGTAGAAATTGCCTTTTTCTTATAGAAAAGTGAGAAACCACATGTTGCTTTAAACCACATGTTGCTTTTGGACATCTCTTCTGATGTCCAAAAGAGAAGACTGGCACTGGGAACTCTTCAAAAAGTGCATTAACTTAGAAGTCAATAACTAATATTGGGCTGGGAATTATTTGCATATGTACTTTGAATAAGGAGCTCTATTTACTAAAATAACTTATTTAGACAATCCAACTGTGGATTTCTATATCTGTGGAACAACCAAAATAATGGTACAGAGTTAGAAGAGATTTCCATTTGTCATCTAAAAATTCTGGGCTACCATCTGTAATATGAGATCTGGGTTTACTATCTAGAATAATTTACCTTCATTAATGGTTTATGTAACGATCTCAAAGTTGGTGGAAGAGGATATGATATCTGCAACAAGTATAAATTTCAAGAATACTTCTCTTTTGTGGTAAAATAATACTTGATTGAAAAAAAAGAATGCACTTAATAAAGAAGCTAATGTTCCTTGATGCTGGTGACCTCAAACTTCCTGAAATGAATTAAATATTATCATCAGTCCAGCCACCTCCAGATAAAATGAAATAATGATTTGTGTGCAAGCAGGTTACAAGAGACTGAATGGAAGAGTCTGAAAAGAGAGCAAAATAATGGCATGACTGTCTTGAGAAGATAGAGGAAATAATGAATTCAAAACAAACAGTAGAGATTATCCATCACTGAGTGCTCCATTTGCAATTGCTCTGTGATTTAGGCACTTCTCTTGAATTAATTACTGAAGAAAGGAATGTAAGGGTGTACCTTACAATCAGCTGCTCCCTGTTTGAATTGAAAAGGGAAGTCTGCAGAAAAGCACACGGTGTGTGTACATAGGCTCACAAGCCTTCTCCTCCAGGTGTGGAATAATGTTTCACAGAGACATCCTCCTAGTCATTGTTTGGGGCTGGGACAAGCTGCCCACATCAGACCTACTCCAAAAATTTTTCCAGGGCAAATTCAGGTTATGGGTCATGTAAAAGGCCATCCATCCTTTTAACCACACTCAGTGGTATTCAACATACAATCTAGAGCAAGCTTTCCAATAGAAATGTTTTGAAAATACCGGGTGACAGGACGAAAAGATCTCGGCCACAGTGTATTTCTTATCTGTTAAATATACTGTAACCAGATCAATGTAAGTATACCAAGTGGCATGGGAAAAAGTTGGAGGTACACGAAGTCTGTATTGTGCCTGTTAGATTTAAAATGTAAAGCAAGAGCAACAAACAATGAGGATTTTAAGGAAAGACCTTTGCTACTGAGGTGGTTAAAGTGATCAAAAGTAACAGAACACACACAAGGATGGGCTTTTCTTGAAACACCAGATCCTGAATGCAGAGTGACACCCAAAAGGCAATGTCAGTTCACAGGATTAGTTGGTTCTCTCCTTTACTTTTCAGGTTTAGAGTTTGCTTTCACTTTGTGTTGGCATGAGCAGTCTACGATCAAAGCCAGATGATTCAGGGAATAAAGGGAAGACTTAGATAATATTTGGACAATACTTGTGTCCTGTTACAGTTGCTTGTTTTAGGGGAACAAACATGATGGCAAAAAGAGGGGCAGGCAGGGCAGGTCCCAGTTTGGTATGGACCCAGGTTCAGAGTCACTTTGAAGAAGCTTTTGTACGATTACACTTAATTTTTTAAACACACCAAGATTATGTTAAGTACCAGGGAAAAAAATAATAAAAAAAGGAGATTGCAGTAGTTACCAGAAGAGTTGATTTTCTTTTTCATGTTTGTATGCATCCAAGATCTTTTCTACCAGAGGAGAGTCATGCAACACATATGTCTCTTCATTGCTCATTTTCTTTCTTTCCTCTCTGGTTCTCTGTCCTTCTTGCTAAACTGTGAATGGCCCTGTTGTGCAGCTCTGTGGGCTCAGAAATGTGAATGAATTTCATAGTTGTAGACATTTTCACAGAAGTACAGTCACAGTTCTACTGTCAAGGCTACACTGAACACAGAGCAGGTTCACAAAACATAAAGCTGCTCCTTATACTCCCTATTATGCCTGTTTGGGCATTATAGGGAGTGGGAAAAAAAAGTGCAGAGATTTTTGATGATGGTGTGATTAGCAGCTGAAGCAGATGACAGAAAAAAGCCATTCTCCACCTTATCCTTCTCCCTCCACAAGCCCTCTGATCAAGGCTTAATGCCTTACTGAGGGATTTGTTGCTGCCACATACGAACTACAAGGCTCTAAAATGAAGAGATGCACTAAATGAAGAGATGAAATGCAGTTGCTGTAATAGAAAGGTGCTCAAACTGTTTGATCAAAGATCTCAGTCCTACCCTTTCATTCAGTGACTCTATTAACAAAATATAGCCAATATTGTGGAAGATTTCAACTCAGTCCTCTATTAGCTTATGAATAATTTAAAAATTGAGTCCTTCAGAAATGTGGCATTTGGTGCAATTCTTGATTCCAATGAACTTAGACAGTTTATCAGTCTTGTAATTTATTATTAAAGTTTAGTAAAATTTTGAAGAGTTGCACACTAGAGGAAAATAGCTTTTATGTCTAATTGCTGAGATTAATTTACAAGTATCAGTTTATTAGGAATTTAAATTTGTACTACAGTCCTAATTTCCATGAATTTCTATACTTATTCAATTTTATATCCCTAAAACCTAAGTTAGAATGGTACATTTGGGTTCAAAACTCACACAGTTTTAAGCTTCAAGAGTAATAATGGCATCTTTCAGATAGCACATTCTCACCTTTTTTTGAAAAGGCGCTCCTCAGGTGAGAATCACAGAATGCTGTCTCCCAAAAGAGCCTCATACTCCGGGGAAATTTTATTATAAAAGTGAAAAAAACCCCTGAAGAATGAAGCAAAGGTAAGGCTATATGGCAGTGACTTACAGTAAATCCATTAGAGAGATAATGCATTTATTCAAACCCGAAGAATTATAAACCTTGGAACTTCTAGGGTAAAATTACATGTAACAAGAAATCCAAACAAAGCACAAAGAAATTAAGAGTCAAATATCTAAACAATCTTAATTATGGTTTGAGAAAACATCTCTTAAATCTCTAGCTAACTAGAAGTCAGAACATTCATTTACCCAATATGTGTTGTTTGTGTATAGATACTAATACATCTGTGCATTTGAAGATGAATGATACCTTTCTACTTCATGGTAACTGAAAGTTCATAAGAAACCTTGGTTCTGCAGGGAAGACCAAAAAAACCACAACAAGCCCTTAAAAATTTCTTAATCATCTCCAAGTCCACAAATGTAGAACCATCTCAGTACAAACTGCATGGTTTTGCTTAGTTACAGTCACCACAGTAACACCCATGTAGCTGTTAAATAGCTCATCTTCTGGAAAAAAGAAGAGGATAAAGCATAAATTAGGAAGCAATATACATACCAGATACTGCAATGCATCACAGGAGCATCAGTGGCACCGTATGGAGTCTGACAAGCGGTCAGTGCAACCAGCACACCAGAAGCTACAGCTTTTGGCTCCAGACTGGTACCTCTGCACGTCCAGAAGGGGAGGAGTTAGAAAGACATTTGGAGATTAAGGCCTCTGTGACAGGAGCAGCTGCATGGGGATGAGGACATTCCTGTGCTGTCAGTAGGGCCATGCCTCTCTGTCCTGCTGAGGACATGGAGACAAGAGCAACCGGGCTGCTGGACCAAGGGCACAGCTTGCGAGGAGCCAGCCAGACCTGGCTCCACAGCAGAACTCTCCTGATGCCGTATCAAACTTTGTCTATCCAAGAAGCAATGCTAAAATTGTTTAGCAGATCCTGATGACACATTAGGACAACAGCACAGAAATGCCACCAGAAACTTTGCAGAGGCCACTCAATAGAAATGGTGATTCTACCAAGAGGCGGTAGGGAAGGGTGTTCATAGGTTGTACCAGGAACATTAGGTTTTGTAGCCTGGAACAAAGCCTGTAGATACAGCTCAAACCCAACCCCTTGCTGTGCCATTAGCAGCTGCGCTTTCTCTGAATGACTCTAATAATTTGCTGGGTGCTCATGACGTTGATGTAATACTATTAATTACAGAGGAGCTGCTTGTAGCTCCTATAGGCAAAACAGATGTTGTATGTTACATTCTCTGTGCGCAGACTGAAAGAACACAGTATATTATCCCCAAACTTAAAGCACTACCTGAGTAAAATATTCACATGATAAGACATTACCTGACATCTGCTAACTATTTCCTGGTACAAGAGTCAGATCATGTAATCTTAACTTGGATCAGTGGCCAATCCCATTTTGCATTAATATCCCAAAGGCACACAGAGGCAGAAGCCTTGTGCTGCTGGGAATAAAAAGAAGCTGAGTCTCTCTCCCTTTCATGAAATATTGTTCATATTGGTCTGGTTACTCACCAAAAAAATGCAGTGAGCTATTTTCCTGGAAAGAACTGCATTTCTAAAAGTTTTCACTGGAATGCCAACAACTCCTAGTTGGACCACAGGCTGAGAGCTCTCAGGAAAGAACATACTGAAGCCTATAGTACACATTCTCACTTCTGGGTCTAGAACCAGCTTGCTTCTTAACTTTTTCCTTGTTCAAAAATCTCATTGTTAAGCTTACCCAGACAGGATTTTTATTTTCTTTCCTTTGCCATTGTTAATGGATAACTCTGTCATGGTTGTTAAGGTATACATGGTATGAGTCAGCAAGTGAAGGCAACGTACACGTGGAGGAGCTGAAAAGTCTTCCTTGTTCCTTTCTGCCCGTCTTCTGAAAATCCTGGTTTTGGTTAGCCAAATATTGCGTGGGGGTTCAGAGAAACAACCAGGTAGGCTGAGGCATAAGCTGTCCTAGGAAGACAGGGTTTCACTGCTCCACCTGCTGCTACAGAAGAAGGCTCAGAGCTGCCAGGCAGTTAAGGCAGCAAGACAAACTGAGAAGGAGAAAGGACCTGAGGAGAAAGGAGCTGAAATTGAGTGTTATTGAGCCCATGGTGGCTCACTGTCCATTTCAATTATAGATACTGCTTTAAAATGTAATTTATTGATATATCTCTTAAATACAGTGGATTTTATAGACCCAATCCTAGAGCCAGCACTGTGACAGTGTCCAAAGGATGATTTTTAATCAAGTGGAGGCTGTGCACACATGTAGGGAGTATATTTAACAGCTATGCTGTAATGATGTCAGAATTATAAACTTAAATGCACTTTAGATCTGCATACTAATAAAGAGATGGCTGTACAGGCTTCTGGACAACTCAGTTTAAAAGAAATTTAAAACCATCAATTTATGTCAGTGCAGAGTTTTGTTATCCAATTACATAAAGTATTAAATATCACAATTAAAACATTTTTGTCATTTATCTCGTACAGATTTCTTTTCTAAGTTTAGCCCTAACTCTTTTGACCTTATGGTAATTCTCCTGGGAGTAATTACTCAATTTCCACAGCAGCAATTTGGATAGCATAAGAGCATGTAACCTCAGCCTTGCTCCCTCCATCAAAATGAAGATTTTGCCTAGAAACATATATTTTTCCCTTCGCATTATTTGAAATATGACACATAATCAATAACCTGAAACTGCATAAAACTTTCTTGTATGATAATTCTATTGATTTTTAGAAGAAATAATTAAACTAACCGTTAAGATGAAGTTCATCAATACAATCTTGACTCTTTTGTTCCTCCCTACTGAGTAGGACAAATCAATCAGGGTTATGAAACAGCATAACCAGTTTTCTGGAGCTATTGCACCATTCTGACAACATACTGAATAGCCAGTTTATGCTCTGTTGTTCTCTCCTTGCTCTCCCATCCCCCTGGCACACATCCCTGCCGCTGCAAATCACAACCTTCTCCTGATTCTTCTCTTATTGCATTGTACGGTCCCAAAACTCTCCAAGTCCATTCTCTTTACTGAGCTACCTCAGTTTGCTACTTCCTACACTGTGTTCCTTTGCAAAATAATGAATGCAATTTTAGGAAAGACATACTGTATTTTTCCACATAGAGGTAGAATGCCAAATTGTGTTAAATGACAAATTTTGTTCCACTTCAATGACGGAAGCAAATCTGCAAATTGGTACCTCTGCTCAGACTGTATTTAACAACAGGACTTTACTAGTTCTCTGCAAGGCAAAATAGTCCCCTGGCAGAAGGTGAAGTGGGAAAGCCAAAAGCCTCTCAGAGTTCTTCTAAAAATAAAGCAGCTTCTCCACAGGGATGGTTGGCTCTCGTTTTCTCTCATACTCTGATGTCCTTAAGACCTGTGCCACATGAATAAAATCTCTCCCCATGTGAACTTGTTTGTACCTCAATTTCTCTTTCACTCCCCATGATCCCACCAACGCCCTCATCAAGCAGCTGTCAGCTTGTGCCACCACCGAGAGCTGCTCCTGCGCCCAAGTGGCTGGAGGGAGGAATCTCTTCTGTGGCAGAAGCAGTCTGGCAGGAAGGGATCAGCGACAGGGGAGATACACCACGGGTATGTGCCGTGCCGGCAGTCAGAGAACCAAGCTCTTTAGGGCTTCTGGATGAAGGTCGTCTAAAATGTTCAAGGATTTGGTTGTTTGCAAGGGACACTGCAGCATGTGTGTAGGTCACAGATTATTCATCTCTGCAACGAGTGAGAAAAAGCCTTCCAAAATTTAGGTTCATAGGATGCAGATTTAATACCTTCTGTGAAATGCACCCTTTACATGGAACAAGAGATTCAAACCAGCATTCAAACCATGCTGAAAAAATGGCTGAACACAGTGGAAAAATTACAGAATATGCATGGCCTGAATCAGACACAGTCAGCAGCCCTAGCAGATCCATTACTTTCCACTCAGCAGAGTCACAAACACTTCATTACTAACAGAAACATTCATCTGCAGCATTCCTAAGATCTATTGGTGTTTACAAGTTGCAGGATTTTCCTGAGAGGTGTAGGAATTAGTGTGTGAAATAACATTTGACAATGTTATTTCAAGTCCAAAACAGGTCACACACAATTTATAAATCTCCCTCAAAAACAATGCTGTTTTTGGAGGTGCATATTTCTATTCAACAGCGTACAACTTGATGGCCTAAGAAATTACTTCCTACAAATTGCTTTATTTTAAAAATAATTTGTATATATGCATTTTAAAGGCTTATTTACAGTAAGTACCATTATTAACTCTGTTAGATGCATGGGCAGATGTGCAGATCAGCCCACACATGTATCTCTCAGATTAATGTTATTTTAAGCTGCTTACATAGTTCCAAAATCCCCAAGATTTAGCCCAGTTGATGTGGCTCTAACAGGTGTAATTGGAACAAATGTATTACAGATCAGAACAACATCAAAAGTATTCATCAGGTCTGTGTTCATACTTAGGAAGCCTCCCATTTTAGGCTGTAGCTATCACTGCAACACAGGAGTATTTAACATGCACTGACATCAGAGATTAGCAGATTCCCTTAAATAGGTGAAACTTGATACACTAAACCCCATAAAAGCATTTCTTTTTGTCATATTTAGAAAATAAAATTATGGCATGTCTTGGTTGCCTTTCAGGTGCCAAAATTCCAACTCCAGCGCATGCACCCAGCTCATGTTAAATGCAATGAGAGATGCAAGACACTGCCCACTTGGCCTTCACTAAGTGAAACATAGAAAAAAAACAAGGAGGGGGGAAAAAACAAGTGCAGATTTTGCTAGAGATTACACAGCAACAGAACCAGAGGTCAAACTCCAGAACCCTGAGCACCTTTCCCACATGCTTGTGGCTACATTCACTGTGGGGAATTAGGCCAAACCGAGGAAGAGGCAGTGACATTGGTAAGAAAGTAAAATGGATTAGCAAGCAGTGACATAGTGGGTCAAAAATAGACAATCTAGGAAGAGAAAAGAAAATTTAAAGTAACAAATGAAGAGCACTGAAAGCTATCATAAGAAAGGAAGTAAGGTGATGCAACAGCAAGTGTAAATAACAGGAGATGCTCTGATGAGAGGCATTTTTCAGACATGTTAAATAGCTGATTGTCTAAATATTTTCAGTAAATACACAGATGCTGTGCTTGCCTCTAGTAAGTGTATTTACTATGGCATACAATGGCCTGGGTGGTAGGCTGATGTTCAGGGTAGAAAACTCTTCTCTTTACTCCTCACCCAGCCTAGTCCCAGTAACATTTGCAGCTGCTTCAAAAATATTGTCAGAGCACTTGGAAAAATCTAAAAGTCAACTCTTGTCATGCCCTTGGAGTTCAGAAAAGAAGAATTACTTTTAATTCTAATTAATTCCATATAAAAGCCATGTAAAGACTTGCCATAGGACAGACTCCTTAAAACCACACTGCTGAAGCTGCTGGCACTTACAACACAAAGCAAGCATAAGCCAGACAGGTGTTGTGACTGTCCCAGAACTGGACACCTCCCATCTGGGTGACAACCAACAGCTCACCAGTGGAGTCCAGCATAATCAACATGGCCCTGCTTCCTACATTAGAAAGGAACTCAGAGCAGGAAAATCTAATGGACTTTTGGGACAAAAGGAAGGGAATGTGGAAGACAGCAAGAATAGGTATGTCTAACCTTCTGAGCCCTAATTGTACTTTTTGAAATTATGAAACACTCCAATAAGCTGAAAGACAAGGTGTTTTTCCCAGCTGCAGGCCTATTTTGCCTATGCTTGAACAAGGTCTAAACACACTTTTATCCTTAAAATACTAAAAGAATTCTCCACTGGCTTCAGATACAGCCACCTCTCCAACAATCCCATCTTCTTGATTACCAGGCTATCTCCTTACATGGTGCTATAAAATTCAACCTGACACTTTCTTATCCCAAACCAGCATTTATAAAAGCCTCATTTTAAAAATCTGACTGTTGTGAAACTGCTGCTAAGGAGGGAAAACAGGGGTCCTTGGTCTCAGCTGTTGTACCTATGCATCTGGTGGCGCTGACAAAATTCAACCCCCGCCAAGGGTCCCAGAACACACGGATACACACAGCAGAGGGGTTAATCCACTCCCACATCATACAACAGTTTAACATCAGCACAAATCAGAAGAAAATTGAGCACAGAAAAGGTTGCTTTGTTCTTTCATCCCTCAGTACCCAAGCCTTTTGCATTCCACTGCCCAGTCCCAATCTTGGAAATAGCCATCAAGTGTCCATCCATGCCTTCCATCACTTCAGAACTACAGCCAGCGAAGGGATCTGCATCCCTGCAGGGCTGCATCTCCCAAGGAGAATGAAAGAGGCAGAGAAGGGGCATCACGAGCTGCGGCCACAGATCTGCTCAATGTGGTAGATATCCTTGGGACAGTCGGCAGACAAGACGAGAGGTGCATCCTCTGTTATCACAACATCATCCTCAATGCGCACACCAATGCCACGAAACCTCTCCGGAGCACTCACATCATCCTCAGGGATATAAATGCCTGAAAGAAGAACTGGAATTAAAACACACAACACTCTCCAGAACACCACCTTTCCCTTACTGCACCACCAGGAGAGCAGGGCTGGACTTTCAGCAACATAATGTGTATGATCCTGAGAATTTTTAATATGGCAAGTTACTCTCTTTCCTCTCACTCATGGCTGTTGGTGGGCAAAGGAAGTGTCCCTCTGTGGCTACAGATATCAGCACATTAATAAAAACTTCCATAGTTACACCTGGCCTTTTCACACTTCTTGCCGTCAGTGTTACATTCACAATGATTTTAACAATGTTCTGAATAGAGAGAGAGAAGAGGCAAGCAAAATATAAGTTTCCAGCTGACAGCTCTAAATCTAGTGACAAGGAGATAGAAAGATTTCTCACAGTATGCCTAATTTGCAAAGCTCAGCTGTGAATCCCTGTAATTGCTGACTGCAATGCTTGAGACAATACCAGTGACTGGTAGAAGTTCAGTGGCAGGAACACAGAACGCAGCACAAGTGAATTGACCCCGATTTCTGCACTGCAGTTCACCTATGCTGCACAGCCTGAGCTCTACACTACTCTGCTTCATGAGTTTACTCCCACTACGTGTTACCTTGGCTATGTTTGGGAAGGAAATAGGGTTTCCTAATACTGTAATGACTTTGGGAGGGGAATAACTTAAGGCTTTCCAATACTGCTATAGTTTCCAGCTTCACCAGAAAGGATGTGAATGCTTTGGTGTGCAGGACCAGCTAACTATTGAAAAGCAATACTGTTACCCTCAGTAAAAGTTTTTGTCCTCATGTCTTCAGCATGTTTTTGTCCACCATTGAGTGCTTTTACCTGGTTCAATGGTTATCACCATGCCTGGCTGGAACGGGAGCGATCGGGATATATCCGGGGTATCGTGAACATCCATGCCCAAGTAATGGCCCACGTGATGAGGGCAGTACTTTCGAACAGCCTACGAGAAGACGGAACAAGTGTCACAGAGGCAGTTAAACACAGCACAACTTGTTTCAGCACAAAAGATAGGGAAAAGAGGCAGAATAGTTATGTGCTTAACTAGCAGTCTTACTGCCATGCCTAGGTCACCAGGGCCTGCCTTCCACTGACTAGAACTTGATGGCCCTTAAAACCCGCCAGTACCAGGTGCCTGTTATGAGTACATTGCAGATTGCCTTTCCCCTGCACTAAAAAGAACAGCCCAAACCCATCACCATCTCAGCACGTCAGGCAAGATGTCAATTTGCAAATCGCTGAGCTTTGCTGCCCCAACCCTTAAACATCCCTTAAACATCCAAGCCCTGCACGACTCCCATCAGCAGATCTTCACAATTGACAGCAGCGGGTACAGCCGCTCTGGGCTGTGAAAGTTGTCTCCTATGCACAGCAGAGCGAATGCGGTGCCGATTTCATTCAGTAGCGACAGCATGATTTCAATCCACCTCTACAAGGCACGGACACCGCCGCCCACCGCACCATCCTCACCTCCCTCCCTCCAAAACAGGAATCGGGGAGAACTCCTCCCCAGCCTGCGCTCCTCATTCCCAAGGGACTGAGCCGGCGGCGCCGCTCCCGTCTGGCTGTGCTTCCCCCTGCCGGAGGAGCCCGGCACGACACCTCGCTCGGCCGGCGGCAGCGGGGCTGCCATGGCACCGGCACCGCGCGCAGCTGAATCCGGCACGAACCTGTCCGGCCGCCAAGGCCGCGCCGCCCTCACCTGCTCCCGCCATCTTGGCACTACTGCCATCGGCAGCCGTGCTCTGCACTGCCCTGCACTGCGACTGACCGCACAAACTTCTCTAAGTGCAAACCAATCCTATCTACCTGCAGGTTCTGCTCTAAGGCAGACCACTTTCCCGGTCTTGTTCAGCAGGTAGCTCTGTGAATTCCAGTAGTGACACAAAATGGTGCAGAAGAGGCGGCAGGTGGAATGACTGAGAATAGGCTGCACCTTTTGGTGGCAATGCAGATTTTTGTGATGTGAAACAAACCACAAAAGTACGAATAACTGCCTGCAGCCAGCCCTAGACCCAGAATCTTGTGTTAGTGCCCATGTGCCTATAGTTCCCTTCAGACCGTGCTCTAAAGCTGTTTCTGCACTGGGAAGTAATGCAGAGCAATGGGAATGGATCTGCAGAGTGAAACAGCAAGAACCAAGGAACAAATATTCACACTATGTGCATGTAAGACTGGAGATTACTTCAGATCAAATTGTGTACCAAATGGTTAAATCACATCTTGGAGTTTAGCCCTGTCTCAGAGAAATTCATTCCTGTGCTGAGACCAGCCTATGACACGAATTACAGCACTGTGTAGCAGCAATTAAAAGAGACATCCTGAAACCACATTTGTAACCCAAATTAAAGCCCTAAAACTAGCCAAGGATTAATCAGGATTACTAGGAGTAATCTAGTAAACTAGAGTAAAAAACTTGAGGTACCTTGAAAAAATGGCTGTCGGTGACGCTGCTTTTCAGGACACCCAAGTCTTTCAGTTTCTGTCCAATAAGGCTCAGCATGAGGCTGTAGATATTTTCCAAACTCATGCCAGGGGAGCAGAGGCTCAAGCAGGACTTCTGGATATCCAGGACAGCTTGATACAGTTCTGCTTGGGGTTTGGTGAACCTGAAGGCCATTGAGTAAAGGAATATCTCACAACTAAACCTCTGTTTCCAAGAGAAAAGAGGTTCTGTCCCCAGAACCTATTCTGGGGACAGATTCAGTTCAAGGATGGCACAAGGGAAAACCAGAAAGCAAAGCAACTGTCTCCTTGTACAAAAGGCCACACCAGCAAATTCACAACTGGCAGAGCTATGTACACATCAACTGAAACTCCTGTTTTCTTACACACAACTGAAGTCAGTTGTATGAAAGCCATCTGTGCACTTTAAGCATGCTGTAATAGCTGAAAATAGCAATAATCACACATATTCATGCAGTAATTAATGAGGCAGTGGGGAATAGAGCTGAACGATTACTTTGTATAATTTGATTACTCTGAAGCACCACAGAATGGGACATGGTAAAACTATGATTAAACACACATTCAATCATCAATTATGTAATAACTTAGCAAAATTCTTCTAAAAAACTTATTGCAGCATACCTTCCATTAACAGGCCAGGTACGTGTGATGTCACTCACATAGCAGGAAAATTCACATCCACCATCTAGCAAGACCAGTTCACCATCCTAGAGAATAACAGGAAAGAATTCTCTGTGGATCAGTCCAGCTATTAACTGATTTTTCTGTCTGAGAGCAGGGAGATTATGATTCTGTTTTCACAACGCAGCTGCAGGAACGTGAATTCCTTTTGCAGAGTAATACCCCAGGTAGTACTGTTTATAAATGGGCTATTCCAGTTGGATTGTGTCTCTGCAAGGTAGTCTCTGACTGTTATGCTTATCTATGGCCTGAACTTTTAAGATGAAGATTTTGAAGAAAAAAAAGGCATTTGCCTTGAACTATTCTGCTCTCCAAGACATGAGTCCTATTCACACCTGGATCACTTACTCTAGCAAATTATGCCTGTGATTCCTTTCACTAGAAGTTCTCAGCTATAGTGACTCAAACAGAGGGGGCTTGTAACAAAAGCATAGGATTTCTGAGCTCCCCTCAGGATCACTAACAGCTACAAATTTACCCTTGTATCACAAAATCGGACAGCTCTGTAATCACTGCTGTAAATGCACTGGTGAATAGCTTGTACAACCTTCCCTTTCTCTTCTAGGACTTTCTTGACTGTTTTAACATACCTTTCTGGATCTATCTGGTGATGAAGAAAAAAATTTTGGAGATGTGAATCTCCACTTCAGCAAAACTGTTCCATATCAATGACTACACATCTCCCAAAAAGTCACACAGAAGAAAGACAAAGGGCCAGGAACAAAACCACTGTCTTGCTTTCCCTCCTTAAAGGGGCTAACAACAAATAGAGCAGTAAGATGTTCAACAAATTTTGGATTAAATTCGCTATAGATTTACACTACATGTAGAGATTCATTCCACAGATCCATGACTGTGCCAGCAGACATGATGTGGAATGGCAAGCCATAATTGCACCATGTTAAGTGAAAGAATAAAGCAGCAGAATTCCACTGCTAGTGTTACCTCCAGCACTAGCTGCTATCATTGTGTACAGTTAAGTGACACAAACAAACACACAGCAGATAAACCAGCAGTGAGCAGATCTCACTATCCCTCTGAATAGACAGGCCATTAACTATCCATTTAAATTGTACTTTTTAACTTTTTCAGAATAGCTGGTTGAATTCTTTAAGGCAAATTTGAAATTACAGCACCTGCCATCTTCCAAGCAATTAAACAAGCTAAGTAACAATTTATTGACTAAGGGAATTCAGCTTGTGGTTTGATTATCCAGTAAATGCCTTATGCTGTGCTTGTCCTTTCTTTAAAGTGGATCCCTCTAAGTAAAAAAACTGAATGAAACATTCAGATACCTCCCAAATTAGACATTTCGTTAGCCTATTTGGAAAAAAGATCTGTAGGAAGCAGCACACAAAGGAAGAGTCAAGTTTATGGGTTTAGCCTTCTACTTAATAGTTTTGGAAAGAAACAAGTGACAATCATTTAACTGAACAACTTTAACAGAAGCAACTGGAGTTACAGCAGCGCGCCTGACCTTGGATGACAGAACAACAAAGGAGGCTTCTTCCTGCCAAAAGCAGCCTGTCATATCTTTTGTACATTTGTCTCTGCAGATCATTTCAAGGTCTGCTAGCGTGCCAGTTTCAAGAAAAGACAATGCTAGTGGGAAAGTTTCATTCTGCCTTAAGACAGAAGAAAAATATACTCCTCTGAAAAGCAAATAGTGAGCAGAGCAGTGAGGGCATACTGCCCCTGAAAATACTTATCTGAATCGAAAGACCTATTGTCAGGAAAGCTGGAGAGAGTTCAGTTCAATGGGAATCTTCAAAATAAGACAAAACACATTACTCTTCCACCTCTTGACATTGAATGCTGATCTGCTCCCTACTTGTTCCCTTTCCCTGCTCTGCTGGGCTACATGGAACCAAAATATGTTTTAGTTTCACCAGAGCAGGAATGCACTTTGCCCTTATACTGCAAAGCAAGGCCAAGGAATGCAAGTGACAGCAGAAGATCCCCTCCGGTGCCTTTGCTTTGCCTGCGACAGTGGCTCCCCTTTATTTGTGAAGCCCTCAGCACTGCAAGCTGCTGTGAGAGCAGACATTCAGTAAATTATCTGCAACCTTGTTTGCAAGTCCTTGCACTGTTCAGAAAATACTGCAGCAAGAACTGAGAGGAAAGAAGGACAAGCTGAATCTGCCACTGACAGTAAAATTAACCAGGGCAGGATTCTTTTCCCTTGCTCACTTAAAAAAATATGTATTTAAGTGCTTTGATCTGTTCAGTTCAAAACAAGCAGCAGCTAGGGAATGTATATCTGTGTCACAGCACTGGATTTCAAGTTACTGGACAGCACAGGGGTTACCTTGATGAGCTGATTATTCTTCACATAGTGCAAAGTGTTTGATCTGTTGCCACCAGCAACAACAGGGGGGTATGCCAATATGTCAGCACCACGAGCCCGGCACTCGAATTCAAACTGGAGCAACAATACAGAGAGAGAAAACCATTAGAGCTGATCCAGGTCATTAACTGCCCTAGAACTATAAAATTTTTTGCCCTACAACTGTTTTCTTAATTTGTACAATACAAAGTGAAACTGGGAAGTGAGTTGACTAAATGAAAGCAATCTTAAATATTTTACAGGAACTCTGGAGGAAAAAAAATACAGAACCGTCCACTTTTTCAAGGGTTTTTCAAGCCTTTACCAGGTTTCCAGGAAGCTCTTTCTGGTACAAGCTGTTCAATACTGTCTCAAACATTAATTACATTGTCACATATCCAGGTGAGGATTTGTTCTTATATAAAATAATGCTCTTATTTGCCATATGACTCTGCAAATTTTCAAAGATCCTATATGTCAGCATGACAACAGTCATGGTTTGTTTCTGTCTTTTAAAATTGCAAAGTACCAGCATATTTACAGCAGTATCTGTTTTTCATGACTGTTGAAGTAAGAAGGTTTGAAAGCATGCACTACCTTGATGTCTGAGGGGATAGAAGAAAAAAGCACCTTAAGCCTCAAGATCTTTACCTTTCTTGAACGATGAAGCTGATGAAAGGCTGGAAATGAATAAATTTACACCTATAAAGACCCTCAACATATTAATAGCATGTCTTTTCTATGGGTACCAAAATCATGTGTGGAACACTCCAGGATGCCAACATGGAGTATGGAGCAAAGGTTTTACAATCCTGGTCTGGACTGAAAAACTGACCTGTTAAATACACTATAATTAAAGTAGTTTTTTCAACTCACTACTGCCAGTGCCATGTCAGCACAGGCCCATCCATTTCATAACAGAGGGCCAAATCTTGCTGATGTTTCTCCAGGCATCTCACTGCAATTCCTTACAAAGCTCCTTACCAAATGTGCAGGCAAATCAGTCCTTATTTTGTAACTGAGAGGCATCTAAACTGCTTCAAGATGGTTGTGGTAATCTGATGCAGTAAGAGGTTAGAGGCAAGAGAAGCAGGTTTTACAAACGGGTGTTATAACTACTTAAATTTTGTACAACAGATCTGTTCTATAGAATAAGGTAATAACTCTACCTGCAATTGTTTAGCAGGTTTTACATTTCTATATAGTACAAATAGTCATCAACAGAGAGAAACTTAGACAAATGCTACACTCCTTAAATAAGGGTATAGGAAATACAGCTGAAGAATTCCTCACACTGACTCTTCTGCAAGTCCAAGGAACCCCAAGAGCTGGGTGAATAAAAGTGCTACAATGGGAGACATGTGATAGACATCTGACATTTCTGGCTTCCTGGAAGGATAACCAACATCCAGCCCTTTTATCTCACTTCCAGCTATGAAGTACTCACCTTAGCATACAGAAAGGCTTCATCCACAGGGGATTTACTGGCAAATATTGTCTCTGTGAAAGCCTGTGAAAATGAAGGGACTTTCAGTTAGCAAAGAAGCATGAACTGGTTTTTTTTCCACCTGTTGTTTCTTGAGGAAAGCCCAAAATCAGCTGGCCCAGAATCAGTGGGTTTCATCAACTTCTTTGGTGAAAGTGCTGTCAAGACTAGAACCAGTTAAATTCTATGCCCTGTCTATACCCTGTGCCTTGTGAAACTGTACTTAGGAGATGACTGACTCTAGTTTTTGGGGAAAAAAAAAAATAAAAGAATTAGATGATTCAGGATGATCCCATGGTGTTGGCATTTTCGAAGTTGTCTCACGGATTCCCTCAGGTATAACAGGATTGCCTTATGCAGCTTTTCCTTCAGAGAAGGACAATCTGTGCCTCTCTTGTCTACTTGGCTATTTTAATAACATTTATGAAAATGTAACTGCATTTGAGGTATCTGTCAGATATGTTTAAAAGTGGCCAATGAGCTCAAAAGGTACTTGAGAGTGAAGGGGGAATGCAGACACATACATAGGAAACATCTTCATAAAAACCCTATTTTCTCAAAATAAACATAATAGATGGGAACGAAAATTATTTTGGAAAGCAGAGAGTAAGCTGGGAAGACAGTGAAAAGGCTAGCCTTTGCTTTCAAACAAAGTCTAACAGCTGCTGGCTTTTCTTCACTGGAGTTATGCTAATTGAGAGAATCTGGTAGTCTAAGCAGTCTTCCCGTTTCTCCTTGTTCTGTGGAGGGAGCCAAGCCCAGCCAGTGGTTGAGACAGAGCAGTTCAGTAATAGATTAGACCAAAGCTCTCCTTCCAACTCATGTCACCTCATCAAGGCAATGCACTGGTTCATTAGGAGAGCACACAACCCCATTACCTCTGCTGTCACGCGGCCAGCTATCTTCATCCTCTCAATCTCGGCAGGGGATTTGATCAGCCGAAGGTTTTGCACGAGATGTCGAACGCCCTGGATGCGGTTTTTGCTCCGAGCTTTTACCTCAGCCAGGGACTGCATGTAGTCAGAGTGCAGCTCTGCATGCACTGGTTTTCTCAAGTCATACCAAACCATGTTTGACTCACCTAGCAAACAAAACACAAGTTGCCACAGACTAAAATAAATGCAGAAATGTCCCTCCCCATCTTAAACTAACTCACTCCCCTTAGACAAGATCTGTGGCTGTATTTGAGAAAAGTAATTTTCTCTGAATCTACATTGACAGGCTATAGACACTTGCATTGTCACAGAATACCAGCAATGTCTTCTAAGTTTGGAAGATTACCAATTCATAGCATATTGATTTGACAAATCCCCACTTCTGGGCAAATAATAGGGATTACAACCATCACTGAATATATGCATCTGACTCAGATCCATTCAGAGTTCACTGTCAAAACTGCACCTGGGTAAGCTAAGCAGCCATCACATTACAGTGCACCTTCTGGACTGTTCTCCCATTCAGCCTGTCCACGAGACATACACATCTCATACCTTGCCTTCAAGCTGAGCAGGTTTGTTCAGCATGTATCTCACACACATTTCCTGCTTTCTTTGATCATCCTTTGCCCTGTGACTTACCTGTTTTCAAGATATCCTTTTTTGAAACAAAATAACTGATCCCAAGATAGTATCCCAAGATACTCCAGAATTCTCTCCCTCTAGTTGTGTGATCCCTCCAAAGTCACACTTGCCCTTATATTGTCATGAGCCTTCTTCAACTTCATTTTATAATGCATTTAAGTTCCCCCTAGATTATAAGTATTGAGGCTACATGGTGATGTGAGATGCAGAAGAATATTTCTAAAGCACAGCAATGTTTGTATTTCAGGGGCAAGTCATCATCTAGCTAAATGAGAGTGGACTAACAAGCTCCCTGTGTGGATCGTTTTCCAAGCCTATTATGAATAAAAAGCCTTCAAGTTTCCTATATGTCATCTGGTTCTGGCTCTGTCAGCAAACAGATATGACTAAATCAGTAACATGGTCCTGCTCACCCTGTTCCTTAATATTTCACAGATACTCAGACTGGCATTCACACGGATACACAAGAAAGTCAGAAATTTTCAAAACTACATATCCACTGGTGGCCCTCAAAGAGCTAACATGAACTTCCAACTGCCTTTGCCAAAACCATACTCCCTGCCCCTCTCCAAGTTCATTTCAGTCTCAAAGTGATGTCACAGACCACCTCCCAAACCTGTACCATCTACAGACCACATCTCATCTCATTCCCCCTCTATTTTTTGTTACCTTTCAGCTTGGCCACCAAGTGTCTGAACTCCTCAATGGTGTAAGCTTCATCTACTCCTGTGAGAGCAATTGCCCCATCTGGGCCTGATCTGGGCCCATCCCACAGCTCTCGATTTGGATCTCTCCGGGGCACAAAAAGTATGGATTTGTGAGACGGCAGCGCTTTGCCAGGAATGCTCTGCAGCACAAGGATGCTGTCAGGCTCCTGAAACCCACAGAGGTACAGGAAATTAGTGTCCTGGTGGAAAATATAGGGGATGTCATTGCTCATATAGTATGTAGGGTTGGACAGCAGAATCACTGTGTGGTCCAAACTTTCCCAGCCTTGGGCTTCCTTCTGGATCAACACCATCAGTTTGTGCCGGCGAAGAGCGTATTCCACCTGTGACAATCCTGGCGTTACCTCTCCTGTGAACACAAAACAAATCAGATGGAGAAATTCAAGGCACTAAGGGTATTTTACTCATCACATGGCCAATTCCTGCCTACTCCCTGATGCCTTACATGTGCATGGCTCCTTTGTCATCCCTCACAAGCCCTTCCCTTGCTACTCTTCACCTTCCATCCCTACAGCACATCTTCATTCATGCTGCTTCTCCATCATGGAAAGCCAGACATTGGTTTTAACCAATTGGATGCTATGTTACATATTTCTGTGCAAAGGTAGAAATCACAAAACCTGGTAGATTTAGACAAACATCCAAATGTTTGCAGAGAATGTGTAAAAAAAAACAAGGGGCAAGGCAAACTGAACTTTGACCGCTAAAAACTGATGGGTTTTACAGCATGGACATTGAACAGAAGTTTGCTTCCTGAGGTTGAGCATTAATTTTCTCAGATAAAGCTAGAATGTTTGTCCAAATGCACACTAAGTCAACTCATAAAGTGACTATTTCTAAACCACAAGGGGCAAATTGAGTGTCAGAGATTCTGGGAGATCATGCAGAAGCAACAGAGATCACAGAGTCTAACCAGTCTCAAGATTCCAGGCAGAAACAAACCACAGACTGCAGGCTGCCATCAGACTCCTGTTAAGGGAAGGGATCTTCTCCAGGACATATGTAGCTTTTCTCAATATTTAACAATTCAGATTTTTCTAAAAATACTGTATTTCTAATAACACTAAGCAAATGATCTTTCAGATGGAGGTACTCTTTCAACTGCTCCAGTCCCAAAAGACATGAAGTACAGCAATCAAGATAGTCACCAAAACAGGACTGAAGTTCAAAGGACAACCAGCAACAGCTGAAGTATGTATTTTTAAAATTGTGAGACTCCCTAATTATGATCTAAATTAATATAAGAGCCTTAATCAGTACTTTGGCTAATATCCTACTTTAAGATGAACTGAATTTTGATACCATTTGTTAACTTTCCACTTTCATAATCTTTTCTTCCTCTTTCATGTGTTACACAGTGACAATTATAGAACAAAAATTTACATTTGACTTATATTGCCAGTGGATTCTTGCATGAGTGCAGTGGGAGGGGGAAGTTCTATTTGCATTAATTTTTACACCTTTTCAATTATATCCTCAATGCCTATTAGATGTAGAAGTTTTTAAAAAGAACCAAAAAAAACCAAAAAAACCCACCACATTTGTTTTACTCTATAAATGTAGAAATGACAGAGAACACAGAAACTGTTTTAATGCAATGTGGCCTCACAATTCCACAATGCTATAATGCAAATTTCCTGTGTTCCACCACATTCCAGTCAGCTTTTTAGCCGCCACAGTCCAGTGAATTTCAGAAGCTGCAATGGGGTGAAACATGGGAATCCCAGCTGTCTTCCAATTGTGAGGCCTGGAAATTCTCTTTGCATTAAAGGCATTTGCTTTTTAAAACAATGGTTGCAATAAAACCATGTCATATTATTTTAAAGAAACCACCTCTGCTTTATTAAATGGAAAAATACTTTGGATAACTGGAATTCATTTCCAGTGCTTTGGCTGCACTTTAAGGAGTCAGCCTTGTTGTGAGCTGTCAATGAGTGGCCTAAACAACCTGATCTAATGCTGAAGTTAGACCAGCTTTGAGCACTGGGGGAACCTGTTAACTGTGTGAGGTTCCTTCTGACCTGAATTATTCTACAATTAAATGCAGAAGTGTGTATATGTGTATATATATAGATACACACACATATAGTCATCTGTTCTTCCTTTATACACACCTATGGAAGAACACAGAGTGTTTTCCTGGACATATTCTTGAAAATATTTTTGCTGCATTTTTTTGTTTGGGGTTTTTTTTTTGGGTTTTTTTGTATGTTTGTTTTTTGTTTTTAAAATTTAACTGTGGTCATCTTATGCCTATACACTCATTTTCATGAATCTCAAAAAAAATGCACAACTTCAGCCTCTATCACTAGTTTCTTTTTTTCTTTTTTTCTATCACTCTATCTCAAGTTTCTTTTTCTCCTTTGCCTCATATTGAATACTCCTCTGAACAGGGCACATTCTTTAGATAAGTGGTGTCCATCTATCAATGTCCCTCCCCATTCACCTTTGCTGAACTGCACCTTTGTTTTGTGACTCACAAGATATGGGATATGAACCATTCTGACAGCTCAGCTTGCACAAAATACTCCCTCTTAATAAAAAACATATTTATTTGCAGGACAACGAGCCCGCAAAATGCCACTGCCACGAAAGATCTGCAGCACCCAAGTAAACAACCCTGAGTACGTCATGAGAAAAAAGAAAGAAGCTATGAAAGCCATCACATGTGAAGCCTATTTTTGGAATCAGTATCATCTTAGACAAGGAAATTAGCTACTAAATGTAATTACTGGCTAATGAAGGAAGTCATAAACAGCTGAAAACACAAACAACTCTATGATGCAGAAAATCAATATACTCAGAAAAACAGAGACAAGAAAATATCAATGACTAGTTCATGCAGGGCCCAAACCTCACCTGGTTTGAGCAGATGTGGGTGTGTGAAGGGGCTGGGCTGGCCCAAATACCGGTTTGGAATCTTCTTCTGCTGGGCAGGCTGGATGGAAAATCTTCGGAGAGCACATGATTTGCAAACTAGAGGAAAAGAAATGCACCATGTCAAGGTAAAAAAAAAACAACTAATCTTTCCAGCTAGGAAACTGCAGAACTGTGGTCTAGTCATCAGTCCCTTAGCAGCATTTTTTCACTTATATGACATAAATATCCCTCCTTAAGGTCTCCATTTGCTGTGCATCACAAGTTTATGAAACAACATGCACACAACTCAACTGACAATCAAATACTCGTGGAACAGATAAAAACAAACATATTCATAACAGAAAGAAACAAACATATGCTAAACCTGACAATTCAGCAACAAAACCCAGGAAGCTCTGTTGGTTTGCACATCCCAATTCATACAACTGACAATCAGGAGGTACTTAGCACTCTCCCTCCCTTGCTTCCTTCAAACACCAAAGGGCTCCAAGCACCGCACCTGTCTCTTCTTGACTATGAAGACAAGAGACATATTGTGTCTTCTTGACTATGTCTTCAAAAAAATTTCTCTCATTTGGAAAAATTATAGTTTTCAAGGCCTTTCCAGTTCTGTTTTTTATTACTAATGCTGAAAATAAACCATCAAATAACACAGGTTTATACAGGAATTTTCCTGTGTGGAGGATACTCGTGAGTCCCTGTTTATGTCTTGACCTTCCATGACAGCAGCATTAGCCAAACTGAATAGTTACTGTATCCCACTTCCAAACCCACACACAGCCAAAGCAGGTGAGTTTTAAAGAATACTACAAGTATGCATCTGTGAGCTGGGAATGGACATGGTAAGACAAAATCTAAAACTAAAAATGAATTGTCAGAAAGTTTCCAATTCTCTGTCACAGCCTTTTGCAACTGAAGAAGTTGCCTTGTGCCTGAATACAAATCATCCAGACATGTAGGAAGGAAAGGGTAGTCAGAAGGTAAACATCTATTTAGAGTGGTTGCTCTGTATGTTACTTACCACATGCCTGCTAGAAAACTAATTTGTGCTGCTATCCTTTAAACAAATATTATTACATCTTCACCAGCATAAGCAAGGATAACACAAGCAGAACACCTGCCTTTCAGGTAGCTGAGCCTCCGAGGCTTACAGCAAAACCTACGTACATGGATTTGCTGTGAGAGCCAGTACGATTAGCCTCTAATTGAACATCATTTATGGCTGACAACTAATAGTCACAACATGAAGCGTTCACTATGTGATGCTTGACTGCAGATCCGGGCGGTGAAATGTAACTGCAGTTTCTTGTGCAGTCTAGCTTATAATTGGTGTTTCTACTGTTTCCCTCCACATACACGGCAGACAAACAGGGCAGCTCGCAACGAGACGACACAGCGGGCATTAAATAAAGCAACACCTTGAAGGCGGCGAGGAGCTTTCTACCGTCGCTTTATTATTCAAGTTACTGCCTGTTCTTCCCTAGGATTCAGCCCTGACGGGGGCTGCCACTGCACCGCCGGGGAGAGCCGCTTTTCCGCGACCCGAGAAGCGAAAGCGGGGCTATAAGCGGCGATAGCCGGGTGTCGCTAGCGGAGCCGCGGGCGGTGTCGGGGTGTGGGGAAGGAGGGGTGTCTGACCTGCGGCGCCGCGCCAGCCCCGGGCCGCCAGGACAAGCCCCTGCTGCGGGAGGCGCGACATGGCCGGGCCACACGGCGCATGGCGGGCCCTCTCTGCGCCGCGGCGCCGCGCGCTGACACCATCACGG